GATAAGTGAAAAATTAAGGTCAAAATGTAAATCAAGAAGAATGAATGAATTGGCCCGGTCCAGATGATAGAATAAAATATATGGAATTAATATAACAACCGACACTACAGGTCATAAAAGTGAGCACGAGTTTGGTAAATATTTGGTTTGTGGCAAATATCATTCACGTAATTCATATGAATTTCTTTATGCTAAATGCCATAGATGCAGTAAAACTGGACACATCCAATCGGATCGTAGAACTAATGTTCATTTCGCTGAAAGTAATACTAAACTTTGTAATTTGGATCCAATTAATTTGGATGATTCTAATTGTCATATATTACTGTTATTTACAACTTCCAATATTTCACTTCATATTCAAAAACGATTATATATGCCCAGTGGTGCATTTTACGATTTCATTGTTGACACTGACAGTATCAAGTCCATCATTTCGGTTGGAAATTTCAAATCAATAAATTCGGATACTATGATTATACCTACCAGAGTTTCCATCTCGATTATTACTGAAAATGTCGTGATTTGTTAGTCAGAGATGGTAAGTCTTCAATTATAAATTGTGAATTTCTCATCACCGATTGTGGAACGTTTACATTAGGTCTTGAGAATTTAAGAATGCTTGAAAGTCAGCTTTCCTTATCGACCACTAGAAATGGTTCTAATTATGCTCTTGATAACATTTAAACTACGGAATCGAAGTGTGGAAAAATACCCACGACTCCACAGTCCCCTCATTCTTGTGTGCAAGCAAAAAATTTCAAAACCTTGAAAACAAACGTCAATTACACTACCGCTGCAAAGTCAAATGTCTCGGAGAGGAGAGAAAAAAAGTTCATTATTGCCAAACTACTGGACCAAACGCAAAAGGAACAATGACAAAATTGTTTAGACAAAGAATGCTTCGTAAAAGAACTCCTTTTCCACGATCCACGAAAAGTTTTCCAAAACAGGTCAATAAACCTGTAGTGTGGCGTCGGGTCGTGTTTGACTATGATCACCACTACAAGATGAGCGCGTACCAGAAAATCAGAAGCAGAAAGGAGATTACAACCAGATTTATTCGCTGGCGATTTCGTGGTATCGAAAGTATACTGAGATCGAGCCAAAGGAAATACAAGTGGAATCAATGGGCGAACTCGCGAGCGCACAAGGTCACAGTCAACGGAAGAATAGTGGAGGAGTAATGGATGTCTTTAGTACAGTTAAACAAACAAGCACAGTAAAACAATCACTTGCACGATTGGTCATAATAATGATTGTTTCCATTAAGCCGACCGCGTTCTGTTGATAAAAGTAGGTCGTCACATACCTATGGTTCGTATGCAAGCCCGTCACGACAAACGAATACTTTACAAGGACTCAGGTGAGTCCGTGTCGGTCAGACACACAATGAACCTAAGGAGGAGAAGCACAATCAATTTCAGAAAGTTAGATTCTCATTTAAGCTGTGAAGGATGTGGTATTTTTACGAAAAATTACTCCTTTCGCACTTCATTGCTCGCTGACTTTGAATTCCAATTAAAATACCTACATCTGTGCTCATCTAGCTGTACCAACATAAAATTGCACTATTTCGAGAATTCCTAGTGAGTAAGATGGTTCGAATGCTTCCAGTTACCAGACACGGTACTGGATATAACCAGATTTAACTCAAATGTCCAGACGAATTTTATGTAGTCTTTTTACTGGGTGTGTAGAGCAATCTTGGTTCTCATAAATCCAGCATTAAAAAGGTATTTGAGAATAGTTACACATAAGACTTTAAATTTTTAGGCCCTCTGCCATTCGTTCATTGTTTTTATTCTACAACGAAGAGTTTGATTCACCAGATGATTTGAGGTCATAAAAAAAGTAGAACAGAGAAGCCCATCATCGTGACCTTCCTTATGATGATGTCACAGGTATTCAGTGTTTGACAACGCTTCTACCAGTAACACCTTCTATTATATTTCGTTCCCACCCAGAGAAATCAAAAGACAGAGTCGAGGAGATCGGAAGAGTATATTTGGCGATGACCAATATATCGGAATTCTCTGATCTAATCCGGCTAGCGATTGCGGTTGATGTTGAGCACGGCGTTACCACACGTGATCTGGTGCGGATGCCTGACCGAGCGCCTTCAGCTAGATGAGTCCACTAAAACATATGGTCAGCATCCAATGTCGAAAACTTAGAGCTATTTATTTTGGGGATTTATTTACCGCTACAGATCACTCCCCCCCTAGTGGGGCAGTGACGACCCTAAGACGTGGCCAGCCAGAAGTTTAAACCCAACGAGTTTGTCGTTGGTAAACACTCTTCTGATAGCTTACTAAGTGTAGCAGCGTCTGGTCGTCTTTCCTTACTATATGGGACCGAGGTACAACATAGTAACAAAAGAAAAAGTTACAACGAAAACTTCGACTCCTCGTAAACTGCATCGTTCTTTTCCAGCCGTCCTGGAAAAGAAAAAAGAAAGTGTAAGTGCATTTTGAAATACACTCGTATGTGCGTAAAAACACAATGTCGGCGAAAAAGTGGAAAATATACTCAAGCACACATAATAGCGTTAAAAATGTTTTTTTTTGTTTTGTTTTTTTTAAGTAAAAAAAATAAATATATAAGCATATTAAAATTCTTTTTTTTAAAAAAAATATAGATCGTAAAAAAAAGATCGAGATAATATAAAATGTCGAGTAGTGATTTACGTGCAGTAGTCGTTTAAATGTTCTGGAAATCTTACTCTTCTTCCAGAACGCGTCGTTTTAGGTTTATTTTCAGATACATTCGGAGTATCATCGCTAGTGTTGGTTGTCGGTTGAGGAATTATGAGTGGAGTCGTGTCGTTCGATTGTAACGAAGGAAAATCGACGTAGATAGGATTTCCTTCTAAATACACTGCTTTGAGGAGATCGATGCTGATGCTATCGTCTGTTCCGTTCTTATCGACTATATAGTACTTCGGTTCGCGTTGAAGAACTTTGAAAGGTCCTTCGTATGCTGATTCGAATGGTCGTCGATGCGAGTCTCGACGAATGAAAACGTGTGTACTATATCGTAAGTCAGGTTGAACGAAAACATCAGTTGATTGAGGTCGAGTGGAAGCAGGTCTAACTGAACGCATTGCGTTTGTAAGCTTGTTCGTGTAGGAGGTTAGATCCATGTTCATTGAAGAGGATGAAGGATCCACGAATTCTCCTGGAAGTCGAAGTGTCGTTCCATAAACGAGTTGAGCCGCAGTGTATCCAATGTCAGCTTTCACTGCATTGCGGATACCTAGTAAGACGAGTGGAAGAGCGTCGGTCCACTGTGAAACGTTTGCAGCTGATAGTGAAGCTTTTAGTTGTCGGTGAAAGCGTTCTACCAACCCGATTGCTTGTGGATGGTAGACGGTCGTTCGGAAGCGAGTGGTTCCTAAAAGTGTGGTCAGACGACGGAAAAGTTCAGATTCAAACTGGCGTCCGCGATCTGTCGTGATGGTTGAAGGGCAGCCGAAGTTTGCTACCCATCGTTCGACGAAGGTGCGGGCCACTGTTTCAGCAGTGATGTCCTTGATAGGTACTGCTTCTGGCCATCGAGTGAAACGGTCTACGCAGGTTAAGAGATAAGAGTATCCATTTGAATCCGGTAAAGGTCCTACCAAATCCAGATGAACATGGTCGAAACGAGCATCGGGAGTTTTAAATGAGCCTAAGGGACATTTATTGTGTCTGACAACCTTAGATTTTTGGCAGCTTACACAGGAGCGTGCCCACTCCCCCACGTCTTTATTCATGTCAGGCCAGCAAAACCGTTCTGCTATAAGCTTGATGGTTGCACGAACACCTGGATGAGAAAGTTTGTGCAATGTATTGAAGTCATTGCGTCGATAATGTTTCGGTACGATTGGGCGATCCCTACCTGTAGATGTGTCACAAAGTAAGGTTTCCTTACCTGTTCCCATCTGTTTGATACGTAACTTGAGGGTTGTGGTCGATAACTCGTGCTGAAGATCAGTGTCTTCTTTTTGAAGCTCGGCGAGTTTAAGAAGGTCAATTCCTTGGAAACTGTTCAAGGAAGTTATACGAGATAAGGCGTCTGCAACTACATTGTTTGCTCCAGAAATATGTTGAATGTCTGAAATAAACTGCGAAATGTAGTCTAGTTGTCGAGACTCACGGGGAGAGTACTTGTCTGAAGGAGAGCTTAGAGAGAAGGTGAGTGGTTTATGGTCAGTGAAAAGAGTGAATTCACGACCTTCGATGAAGTGTTGAAAATGTCGTACAGCACAATACGTAGCTAAGAGTTCCCTACCGAATGTGCTGTACCTTGATTCGGTGTCTAGCAACCTTCTAGAGAAAAATGCCAAGGGTTGCCAGGAGTTGTTAACCCATTGTTGTAAGACGCCACCGATTGCCGAGTCCGATGCGTCTACTGCGATACTAATGGGTGCTTCGGTGTCCGGATGTGCAAGCATTGTTGCTTTAGCAACCAGTCCCTTAACTGTGGAGAATGCTTTACGTGCGGTGTCGTCCAAATTAATGGATTTCGCATTTCCACGAAGTTGGTCGGTCAGAGATGCGCATTTCGGTATGAAACGTCTATAGAAACTTACGAGGCCGTTAAACGTGCGTAATTGCTTGACGGTGGTCGGTTCTGGGTAATCCAGAATGGCCGCCACTTTGGTTCTAAGGGGTCGGATACCTTGAGCATCGATAGTGTGTCCTAGGAAGTCTAACGAGTCGGTTCCGAATTCGCATTTCTGAACGTTTACAGTAGTGCCATGTTTTTGTAATCGTTCGAAAACAAGATCCAGATGCTTGAGATGTGTTTCTCTGTCCGGACTTGCGATTAGACAGTCGTCAACATACGCATGTACGAAGTTGAGACCTCGGAAAACGTCGTCTATGAATCTTTGGAATGTTTGAGCGGCATTTCGTAGACCGAAGGGCATTCGCAAAAATTCATAGAGTCCGAAGGGAGTTATGATAGCTGTTTTCGGAATGTCGTCAGTAGCCATAGGGATTTGGTTATACGCTTTAACCAAGTCGATTTTCGAAAAAAACAGTTGTACCTTTCAAGGTAGCTGTCAAATCGTGAATGTGAGGCAACGGGTAACGATCGGGAATGGTTTTCGCGTTCAATCGCCGATAGTCACCAGTTGGACGCCAATCGTTGCTGTCCTTTTTAGGGACCATGTGCAACGGAGATGCATATGGGCTATTTGACGGTCGTATGATTCCTAAATCTATCATGTGATCGAATTCGTTTTTCGCTAACCTTAGCTTTTCAGGAGCTAGTCGTCGTGCTTTAGAGAATACAGGTGGTCCTGTAGTCGTGATGTGTAACATTGCTGGTTACACACGGTAGTTTCGGTTGAGTTTGTTGTATCCCAGGATACTTATCGAGTAGTGGCTGATAAAGTGGGTCGATCATATGCTTAACTGTGACTGAGGATAATCTGCAACCAGAAAAGGAAGTTACGCAAACGGACAAATTAGTGTTTCCGTCTACTAGCCTCCGTTTGCGCGTGTCGATGATCAGATTGTGGTGTTGTAGAAGGTCCATACCAATGATTGTCATAGAAACATCTGCAATAACGAAAATCCAGTGGATGGGTTTGCGTAAACCCACGTTAAGGTAAACGTACCTTTTGCCATACGTAGCGATAAGTTTTCCGTTTGCCGCCTGTAAGTTAAAAGCCGATTCCTGAAGCCGGCCGTTAGGATTTGCTGGGAGAACGCTAACTTCTGCGCCAGTGTCGACGAGGTAGCGAACTCTCGTTGTCACATCTGTGACGTATAACAACGGCTATGTTCGCCAGCTACGGTTGCCGTTAACGCGTGCCGGCTTAGAGGTTTCCCGAGTTGTTTTTCGAGTCACTCGGTTTCGTGTTGGGAAAATTGCAGGGTTTTCTGCAATTTCTGGAAAACTTTCCATACTGGTTATGATACCAGCACCAGTCGGGGTTATCCGTCTCTCGTGGTCTGAAGACAGATCGCTTACGTGAAGTGCTTCTACGTGGTGTGCGCGATCTCTTACGGTCGGTACGAAGACTAAGATAACGCGTGAGTGTGTGACATAACTCGGTTATATCATTCTGAGTCGTTTGAGGTTTTTCGTTGACTGAAAATACCTCGGTAGTAGGAGGTTTCGTAATTTCTAAAATGCGGTCGGCAGATGCAGCTAGCTCGTCTAAGGCGTTGTTCTGGAACGAGACCAGAACCGCTTGCACCTGTTGGGGAAGTTTTGACAAGAAAAGTTGTTTGAATAGACCTTCGTCTAAAGTTCTTGGGCCTATAACCTCTCTCATCCGTTGCAACATGTCTGTCGCAGAACCATGTTGCAGGTCGATGTTATTGAAGAGTTTATCTAACCTTTGTCGATCGGTTAGGTCCCCTCTTTTAAGAATCGAACGTTTCAAGGTTTCGTATGGTTCAGAAACATCATTAGTAAACATACTAGGTGTTACGTACCTGTTGAATTCGCGCGGTAGTGCCTTGACTACTGCGAGGAATTGTGCACGTGTGTCGATCACGCCGTGCTCGGAGAAGTCGGCTTCTGCGTAGCAAAACCAGGCTTCGATGTTGTCGGGCCAGAAAGGCATGAGTTGAAACGAAGGCGGGGACAAAGTCTTAAGCTTGAGTACTTTAGGTGTCTGTTCAGTCATGATGAAGTATGAAGTACGATAATGAACGAGGGGAAAATATATATATCCAGGAAAAAACACGGAAAAACTCACAATGTTTAAAAAAAATAAAAAAATGAGGCAATGATATATAATAATCCCAAAAAGGAACAGACTCACAGTTGCAAATAGGTGTACCAGATCACGTCGGTCTCACCAATTATGATGTCACAGGTATTCAGTGTTTGACAACGCTTCTACCAGTAACACCTTCTATTATATTTCGTTCCCACCCAGAGAAATCAAAAGACAGAGTCGAGGAGATCGGAAGAGTATATTTGGCGATGACCAATATATCGGAATTCTCTGATCTAATCCGGCTAGCGATTGCGGTTGATGTTGAGCACGGCGTTACCACACGTGATCTGGTGCGGATGCCTGACCGAGCGCCTTCAGCTAGATGAGTCCACTAAAACATATGGTCAGCATCCAATGTCGAAAACTTAGAGCTATTTATTTTGGGGATTTATTTACCGCTACACTTATGTTTAATTAATATGACACAATATAGAATGGTTCGGTGAAATAAAAAACTACATATTTACAGGTAGGCTTTGTTCCTAGAAGGTTATTAACTTTACGGGAATCATACTTCATGCGCACCACTTTCTTTCGCTGAATTCATGTTTGACTTCTCAACATGCGTTGTTCTGTCTGCGCTCACTCATCTAGTTGCTTATCATTCAAAGTCGACGATTAACAGAACTACTTCTTTCGGCGATTTATTAACCGTTACAGCTAACCTAAGAAGTGACTGGACAGAATTCATAACACAACGAGCTTGACTTATTTTGACACATTCTGAAAATAATGCATTGGAAGAATCCGTATTTTATGCGGTACATTTGAGCTCGAGCGTAACAGATATGAGTGAGGTCATTGATCCAAGAGCGTCTAGATTGCTAGTCTTATTCAGTATCCTCATCATCGCATTACCACTTTCATCACTGTTTTTGTCGAAATTCGTATTATCAGGTAATTTTTAAATTCTATGCTATGTTGAAGATTTCTTCCACATGGATTCTTCGTCTGCTTACATTGGGGCTGCAGTGGTCTCCATCATCATCGTCCATCTTGTGCTGTTAGGTTTTATCGTCGTTGCATTTTCAGAGACGAAACCCCATACTGCTGCTGTGGAAAGGAAACATGAGTAACGACATATCAAAAGTTTGCCTTCGACGCATTTTGGTTTCTCCTACTGTAGTAGGCAATATATAAACATTCCTCCTATGTTTACTGCATTTTTTTCTATGCAAAGTAGGTACTGGTTAATACCTTCCTAAATTTTGTACTGTGACTTGTGGCTTTTATGATTGTAAATAGTTCCTTCCTGTGATTTATTTTATTTCTACAGTTTAAATAAATAGAAAATTACTCGATATTGTGACGTACTAGTTGTGTTCTTTTCCGTGAAAACTTTATTATCAGTTGAACACATTTCAGAAATCAGGCGACATTTTGTATACTCGTCAATGCTGTATAAAGCGTAAACTTGAAATCCTTGTAAAAACTTTTAATTCTGAAAAACACCATGTGTTACCGAGGTTTCACTTAATACGTTGATGGGAATTTCGTAATGTCTAAACTTGGTCGGGTAGTAATATCAGATAAAGAATTATTCGGGATTTGCATTTGTAGTATGTGGTGATCCTTGTATCACTGTCTTGTATGAAGATCAATAGACAAAACTGTATTATCAGTGCCCAACAGAATAAAATCACTAGGAATAATTATCGCCCAAATATTCTTTGTCTTTAAGTAAATATTGGGCCTCAAGCTAATCAATTGATTGTACTATAACCATCTCCCGTACAACTTACAAATTTTTGTTACACGAGTCCCTCTGTAATTTGCCATCGTACTTTTCGTATACAACTTCCATACATTTTAATTTTTATGTTGATTACGTGGAGTAATTATTTTATAGACCAAGTAATACATTTCCTATGCCGTATTTTTCTGATCTGAGCGAAACCAACAGACCGGAACTATCAGTGGTCATGATGACACCTTTAAGTAAATAGCATTAAAAAGATTTATTTAGTGAATAAATCTGGGTAGTATGTTAAATAGACTTTTCTTTTTTGTAGTCTATTCTGTTAGTGTCAACGTCAGTTGTTTTCCTTTGGACACTAATTAGAATCTACCTAATTGTCTTTCTTGTGGTAGAAGGACCAGACTCTAAAAGATATTAGGTGTATGTGGTTCAACTTATTGGCAGTCATCCCACCTAGCGCTCTCATCTTAAATTAAATCATATCCCTGTCTGTTTGTCTTCACACCTTTAAACTAAGTGTCGATAATCTGAAGTACATTTTTCGGTGTTAGATGGCCCAAGGTAATCGCCACGAATTTCTTGACATGCGTTTTGTAGTTGCTCATTTGTTATTGCCTGTTACTCCTCATAGAGCATAGGCTGCCAACCGGGATTTCCTAACCAACTCCATACTAGGTTCTCCCTCCTAGTTGTTTCCTAGTGACATTCATTCTATTGATGTCTAACTTCGATTCCCGAGAAATTGTGTTTTTTGTTCTGCCTCTTTTTGCATGAGGATTCCAAGCCCGTGCTTGCTTCAATGCAGTTTGATTTTTGCAATATGTTTCCTATCCACCTTCAATGTCTTTTCCTAATTTCCACTCTGGTTGGAAGCTGGTTTGTTCTCTGTCACAGTAGGTTATTTCTGGTCAACCGATCTCAGGTATTTTGCATAGACAATTGTATGAGTACCTGTACTTTTTTGATTGTGGTTTTGGTAGCTCTCTTAGTTTCACTTCTGTGCAACAGAACCGTCTTAACGTTTGTATTGGAAATTATGACTTTGGTGTTGGATGACGGTTGTTTCGAGTTCAGATGTCCTTCAATTGTAGCAGTATTGTCCTTACTTTGTCAATCCGTGCCTACACATGTGGATCAGGTTCCCCTTGTTATCAGTGCTGCCTCTTAGGTATGTAAAAGTTTCCACCCCTTCCAGAGTTTATCCATTAAGTGTGACTTGGTACTGTGTCGTGTTTTAAGATTTAGCTTTTTCTTTTGTGTATGTTGAAGCCTACTGCTGCAGAGGCTTATGCTACATTGTTTGTCTTCACCTGCATTTATTGTTGTGTACGGTATAGAAGAACTTAATTACCTGTGATTTTTAAGTCCTTTAAGTGCATCCAAGTTGTCCATTGTATTCCGTGCTTCACCTGAGGTGTGGAGGTCTTCATAATCCAGTCAACCACCAGTAAAAAGGGCAATAGTATGCAGCCTTATCTGATACGTAGTTCCTCGTACTCACTGCCATTTTGTATCTTCAAATTTGCACTAACCCATACTTTCTGAAAGATTTTTGCTCTCGTTAATGGCGTAAAATTTAGGTAGTGTACAGAGTTCTGTGGAAATAGCTCACTCAAAGTTTTGATACGTAATCCTATTAAGTATCAACAAGCATCAATACAATAGCGGTGGCTTACTGTTAATCTCATATAGCAGTATGTTTGGCGTCGAATAAAACTATCTCCACGTAAACCCAAGTGGCTCGATTCAATTCCAAAAACGGATTACTTTCTCAAATGGGAAATAGCTTTCGGTCCATCAGTCAGTCAGCGACAACATAGGACCAGGCACATATATGCATCGGTCCAAGTTGCCATACCGCATTAGTACAGCAAGATGAACACCGG